ACTTAACACAATAGGCCTGAGTTGACAAACTCAGTCTGTAGGAACAGTCATAGGCAATGGTGTTAAACTTAAACAATGCCAAAATTAACACAACATGGAATACTACTTCACCAAAATAGCAAAGCCACTAAACAAGCCCTAAACAGAACCAAGAAATTACATTACAATGCCCAGTCCAAAAGAGAAGTAGACTAACATGAAGAGTTAACCATTCTAAACATCAATATGCTTGATTGGTCTAAAACAAAACTTCAACAGCATGCTTAAACATTGGTCTTAATCTTACTTAAAAGCAGGCTACACATAAGTGGAACAAAACCCTTCATGCCAAAATGAATTGGCAGCAAACAATGGTTTAACATAACAATGCTAGAAACTACCCTTATCATGCATTCAACAATATTTTTTCATAAAAGTAGTTACACACTAACTGAACTAAATGGCATCCAAAAACAGCCATACATGGTATTCACACATACTTGGCAGCAAAGTTGCAATTTAAATATAACAATGTTTAAACCATTTAACAAACCAACAAAACATAAACATGATGCACCATAGTAAAGAGTTTTAGGGCTACATACCTCTTGTAGAACTCCAAAAACTAGCTAGCAGCAAGAGCAAAGTGTCCTCCCCTCCTTTGAGCAAGCCTTGAGTTTTCTTCCTTTTGAAGCAACAATTGGTTTTTGAGGACAGTTTGAGCAAATGGATTTCCATTTGTTGTTTAAGGTTATGAACAGCTAGTATGACTATAATGGAAGGTGTTCAAAGTGTTGTGATGATGGGAAATGGCTTGAGTAGTGATTTGGCATGAAATGTGCATAAAAGTCAAACTATGGTGGCATGAAGGTTGACTTTTTGATTCAAGGTTTTTTTTATGAAAATAAATATTGGGATAGCTTCAAATGATCATTTTAGGTTTATGTATATGGTTTGTATGATAGTTTCATGGCTGAAAATGATGCTGGTGTAAAAAATGCAAAGTGGCCATTTTTGGTGATTTTGTGAATTTCTTCACTTTCAAGCAAAGAGGGAAGGAGGAGAGCTATGAGTTTCTGTTTCTCTTGGATAGCTCTGGTATGTTGTATACAATGGTATAAAGCCTCTATTTATAGGCTAAGAGAAGAGTTGGGGCAGATTTGGATCTTGGTCTTGGAGAGAGATTTTTAGTGAAAATCTCATGAAGTCCATGTAGTAGTTTTGGTTCAGCAGGCTTTGCTTGCTTTCAAGGAGTTTCGCCCTCGAAAATAGCTAGCAAATGGGATGTGAGAAATGACATTTGAGTGTGCAATGACCCCCCACCTGCTGCAGCCACCAATACTCTCTCTCCTTGTGTAACTTTTGCATTTTTTTCATTAAACTAATGTGTCTTGTCAAGAACTTGAGATTTGCTTGGATTCTTGTCTGATTTAGTCCAAATTGCACTCTAATACATCTCATCAGAGGTGATTCCATGGTTAGAAAGAAAGCACATGGTTGGAAACCAAGTCTATGTTGAATTTTGACAAGTTGACAAACTAGTGCAGAGGCCCAACTTTCTCCACTTGAAACTCTCGGTTCACAAGGGATATGGAGGAGTTCTAGTACTTTTTAGAAAGCCCTCATGGAGCTCTACAACTTTCATGATTTTATGATTTTCAGATTCCAAGTGGAACTAAGTAAAAAAAACTCCTCAAAGTTGGCTGAAAACATGCCTAAAAAGGCCAGAAACTTAGAATTTTTACAAGTGTTTTCTCCCTCTTGTGATGAATTTCATCATTACTCCAAGTCTATGCATTTTTTGAACATGGACCACTGTGAGACTTTTGTAATACTTTCCAATACCTTTCCAACAAGCTTTGAAACACCTCAATTGGATGTGTGGTTGGGAAGTTATGGTCTTGCCCCTTTCAAAATCCTAATTCCCGACTTTTTCGATTACTCCTCAATCCTTGATCCAATGGTCATGAAACTTCATGGATATGTGTAATATGTTATTAGGAACATTTTTTCTTCACACCTTGAGGTCAAATTCCTTATGGTTGAAGAGTTGAGTTTTTGGTCAATGAAACGATCGATAACTATCGGATCGACTGTTGTTGTTCTAGGTCTCATAAGGTCTTGAAACTTCTTGAGTGGACTTCATTAAGCCATATGAGCTTCATGGACCATGATTCCATCATTGGAACACCTTTTTAATCAAAAGTTAAACTACAGTTGAGTTTTCCCATTAGAAACCCTAATCGGGGATCCTGAACTGTACTGTTCTTAATCTTTGGGTGACCACCTCAAATTGGATTCATACTTGACCCAATGGAGTATCTTTGATGATGTACCTTTTCTTCCATGTAGTCCAATGATACGCAAATTATCTCATTTGGAATGGAAAACAAAGAACCGACCCAATCCTTACCTTGGGAACCCACATGCTCGATATGCAAAAGAACGATGTATGATATGACGAAATGTAGGGTATAAAAGGCTAAAGATGAAAATGAGGGTGTGAAACTTTGGGACTAAATAAAGTTCGGTGACGACTTCGTTGTATCTTTGAGTGTGCGATTCACTTAGGTATAATCCTGCTAGCTTCAACTCTCTTGCGAAATGGTCAAACCTTTGACATTTAAAGCATCACATATTTCTTTTTCAAAACTCTTCCTTTCACCTCTAAGGTTGCCTTGACCACCAATTTTTTTGCAGCTTCTCTCACCCCTTTGATAAGTCAAATTCTTGAAACTTTGCGACTCTCTTCCACAAAAATCATGAAAATGTCATTTACTGTTCATGGGTCATTTTCCTTTTGATTTCTTGTCCTTCGCTTTGAAGCGAGCTTGCAAAGTGATCTTCGTCTTTTCCTTATCATTACTTCTCTCATCCATCCTCTGCTCATGGGTCTCAAGAGAGATTTTCATCTCCTCTTTGTCCGTCGTTGTAAGATCCTTCATTTCTTCAATCGCTACAACCACGTTGTCAAATCTTGACATTAAAGAGTGTAAGATTTTCACAAAAACATATTACTCTGTGAGGGTTTCTCCACATGCCTTCACTTGATCCATAAACCAAGTGATTCTTGTTGTGAAATCGTTGATGATCTCATTTTCCTCCATTTGAATCAATTTAAGTTGACGCTTGTGAATTTGTAACCTCACTACCTTTTTCTTTTCAGACCCTACGTATGCCTCCTCTAACATTTCCCACGATTCCTTTGACGATTCACAATCATCAACTTTCTCAAAGTTGTTACCATCCACACATTGATGGATAAAAAATAACGCCTTGAAATCTTCCGTCTTCTCTTCTTTATGCGTACTCGCTGGCATCCGTTGCACCTTGGACAAGGGGATTCACCTCGTTCTTGATCACTTTCAGAACATCTTGATAGCCAAATAACACTTTTATTTGTTTGCACTATTTGTCGTAATTCTTTTGCATAAAGGATCGATAGGTTTACAGAGATTCTTTAGTTGGAGACAAAATTCATGTTTCATACTAGGTGTTTGTGGATAAGAACTTGCTCTTGATTCCAAATGTGAGATTTTAAACCACAAAATTGGTGAATATCAAAGAAATCAGGGTGTGAAGAGGGAGAGAGAAATTTATTAAGGGTGAGAATTTTCTATTACTTTTATTAACCATGACAATGATACCTCTAAGATATTAATACAAGTGATTGGGATACAAGTTACACAATTAAATAACCGAAACAACAGAATTCTCAGACTTCTAAATATGTAATTGATTATAATTGTTACAACAAATATATCCATTCAATAGTAACCAACTTATGTTAACCGATTACGCCCACAATAAATTTTCAATTTCTTTCAGTTAAAATGTGATTTTCACCTAATTATAACCAATTATGAATTTGTAGTAACCGATTACGGCACTTGAATTTAAAAAAAAAAAAACTCTTAAACAAGATGGAGTGTAGCTAAGAAAAATAGAGTGTCTTACAACGTAAAACGTGATAACGAAGAAAGATGGTCTGACTTATAAGAACCTACACCTCATACGAGTATATGTAAGTATCTATGCTTGAATTTTGTGTTTATTATATAATCCTAAACAATAAAAAACTTGAGATGGATAAAATATTATTCAGAATATAAATTATTGATAAAAGAAAAGTAAAATGGAAATTAGACTGATGATGAAAAAATTGTATTGCATGAAAGGTACATAAAACTTGTATAATCAAAGTGAATAATAAATAATTACTATAACTAACTTTTATATCTGAAAAAAATCAAAATATTGATTGTGTGTAATATGATCTTTAAATGATTTTATTTAATTATCAAAGGTACATAAGATTTATATAATCAATAAAAAAAAAAACTAATATAACTAATTTTTATATCAAAAAATGTTGATTGTATCTAAATAATTTAGGGATGAATTATCTCATTTAATTCAATATAAGATTCTTCAAGTATTGAAAAATTGAATAATGTAATTATCGAATATTATTAGGACTAATTATATGTTATATGCAATCTTAAGGATCAACCTAGTAACGAAGTCTTAGATTTTAAGAATATGACCTTATGTGCAAATAATTTTTATGTTGGATCAAGTCCCTACATGACTTTGCTCCCCTTTTAATAGGCCCTCGCAACTCCCATGGATTAAGTTGGTCGCAAGATACTAAAATTAAAAATAAAAGATCATCTTATATATAAAGATTAAATCATACCATGGTCCTTTCAAAATAAGACAAACAAATACAAAAATAAACCTGTACATATAATCATTAATACAGATACAAACAATTTTCTCAAAATACAAACAATTTTCTCAAATTTAACAAATGTATAGATATAAGGCTTATAATACACATTTATGTATAGTATATTAGGGTGGCAAAAATACACATTTATGTGCATAAATAAAAGAACAAACTAAATAATTTTGAATCAAGTGAGACCTCTAAATGCTATTTAACCATCACAAAAAAACAAAATTTGGTGGATTCACAAGCTTTGCTTTATAATCAACATACAGATGATTGGAGTTTTCTACATGCCAAGCTTTCTTTCGAAGAGGCGGCGAAGAAGATAAACTTGGAGGGTGCTTGCACCAATTAGTGCTGCGGATTCAAGTAATGCCTTGTGAATTGCTCTTGAACTCATTGCATTGTTTACTATAATAAGATAAAACGAAAAGTTTTAATCAGATGAAAATTCATATCTATAGGACCGATATTTCTGATAAAAGACGTGTAAGATGACTCACCTATTGCTTGACGTTCTGTCTGAGCCTCAAGCCAATGTTGTTCGTACTGAATATTGAAAAGAGCTTCTTCTAACTTTATTATTTGTTCTAACAAAGGAGTAAAATGTTCTGCAAAAGATGAAAATATCAAAGTAACACTCACCATTCCAACATGAACAAAAGTGTAAGAGATTAATCATTCAAACATTGCTCACCATTTTGTGCATGTTGATCAAAGGTTGAAAAATGGTTAGAATGAACATCGAAATCTACTTTTTCACGATAAGGTGACTTGTTAGTGAAGCAAAACCGATAGGCTCCTCTAGTTCGAGCTACAAAGTCAAATTTTTCACTTGTCTTATCGCGAAAATCTCGAACTTGTTCACCAGAAGGTCCTTTAACCTAATGAAAAGATTCACATGACAATCAAGCTTTTTTGTTGGCATTTCATAGAGTTATATATAGCATTTCATAGAGTTATATATAGTAATTTTAAAACATGTATTAATTGATATTGAAACACACAAGACACGCCTCAATTGTTTTTCACATTATGTCACATTCATTCCTAATGTTTTTTTACGAAGTGTAGAATCCAACGCAAACAGAGGAGCATGACATGATACATACACTCTGACATCGTTAACGTCATAAATATAGGTCATAGACATCTTTACGTATATGATTTGTTAAATTGTTATCGAAATCATGAAATAAATTTCTTAATGACAAAGGAATTTCATTTTACACATAAAGAATTTGAAATAAAATCAACAAAACCTACCACAAGATCCAAACCTTCTTGAGTTAATTGCCATGATGGATCAGCAGTGTTTATGACAACAAATGAAGCATGCACTGTATCCCCTTCATATTGAACATAATGGGAGAAACAATCTTCTCTATCAATTACAAATCTTATCCCAAAAACAACATTTATGTTTGATAATAATAATAAGATTGCCATTGCAATGGCAACGTTTGGTGGCACCACCTTCATCTTTATCTACATCAACACATTCAACAAAACTAGAATTAGATTCTAAATTAACATTAATTTTCATCTTTTGAAATGATAAATGTGAAAAACTCTATCTAATCAAGAATTTTAACATTGAATGGATTGCATAAAGATGGATTCAATAGAATTTGAAACATAGAAGAATGGAATAGAAAATGTTACATTTTATATAATCAAATATTTTACTCCTCAATTAAGAAATGATAAGGGATTATAAGGAATCTAAAGGAAAAAATAGAAAAATGGAAAACTTTGAGATTGATTGTAGATGAGTTTGTGAAGTTTGAGGTTTGTTTTGTTAATAAAGATTTGTGATCGTATGTTATTAGAATTCAGAACAAAACATGTGTTGGACAAATAACTTTGGTTTGGATAATTAATTAGTAGAAAGTTATTTTTATAAAATTTTCATTTTGAAAAAATAGTGAGTGAAAACATTTATACAATGGAGCTCCTTATTTTGAGTGTTTAAGTAGATTCTATTCGGATACATCATTAGTTTTATAATTTTTTAAATGTCAATATTTAATAAAAGATTGAATATTTGGGCATGCACATAAATGTTAGTCAGGCTTGCATTCTAGGTAACAAATTTAATATTTATGAAATTCACATAAAATGTTAGTTAGACTTGCATTTATATGTAACAAGTTTAATATTTACTAGTATTAGTAATAATTCATATTTTATTATATTACTTTCTTAAGCCCATAAGTTTGTTAGAGGGTATTTTAGTATTTATATTATTCTAGTAACCCTAGTTTTAGCTTATAAATAGGGTGACAATCATTGTAACCAAATATCATGTTTTTCTGCCGTCATTCTTAATAGAATATTTCTACCTTTCATCATTTATTCTACCTTTGCACCAACAAATTGGTATCTAGAGCTCCGGTTCAGATTCATTGGGAAACACGGGAAACACGAGTGAACGTGAGGTCTTGTGTGTTTGATTTTGTTTCTCAGATTCTTGTTGAATCTTGAACAAAATCTGATCAGAATTTTTTTAATTCTGTGGGTTGGGAAACACTGTGTGAGAAAACTCTGAGTGTATTGTGCAAAGTAGAAGATGAACGGAAACGGCAACATGAACACCAAACTTTCAGTATTTGATGGTAAAAACTGGAATCGTTGGATGATCCAAATGCGTGTACTATTTGGTGCTCAAGATGTTCTAGATCTTGTCACTGATGGTTATGTTCCAGTAGCAGCAGATGCAACTGATGAACAGAAAAACGCGCAGAAGGAAGTAAGGAAGAAGGATCAGAAAGCATTGTTCTTCATTCATCAATGTGTGGATGTAAACGTGTTTGAGAAGATTGCAGACTCTACAACAGCAAAGGCTGCATGGGACACTCTGGTGAGATGTTATGGTGGTGACGCATCAGTGAAGAAGGTGAAGCTCCAGTCCTTGAGAAAGCAATATGAGAATCTCAACATGAAGAATAATGAGAAAGTTTCTGAATACATCTCCAGAGTGATTCTGATCACTAATGAGATGAAGGCATGTGGAGAAACTCTTTCTGAAGAAACAATCATGGAGAAAGTGTTGAGATCCCTTACTCCTCAATTTGATTACATTGTGGTAGCAATAGAACATTCCAAAGATCTGAGCACAATGAGAATTGAAGAGCTGCAGAGCAGTCTAGAAGCGCAAGAGTTGCGTCTGACTGAGAGAAACTATGAAAAGGAAGTAGAACAGCAGGCTCTGAAAGCAACTTCTGATAGGAGGTATCAGAAGCAGTCAGAAGCCAGGAGAAGATCTGATGGTGGTCAGAAGTCAGAAAGCTCAACCTCTGATAGACAAAAGAATGCTCAGAGGGGAAAAGAGAAGTATGACAAAAGAAAAATACAATGTTACTGTTGTAAGAAGTTTGGCCATTTTGCTAGAGATTGTTGGTCAAACAAGGAGAAGAAATCAGAAGAAGCAAATATAGCCAGAGGCTCTGATGACGAATCTGTGTTGTTGATGGCCTCTGAATCTGATAATGTGGATCTGACAGACTGGTGGTATATGGACACTGGCTGTTCAAATCATCTTACTGGAAACAAGAAATGGCTGGTTGACTTTGACTCTGAAAAGAGAACAAAGATCAGATGTGCTGATGACAAATATCTTAATGCAGAAGGTATGGGAAATGTCAGAGTGACTCTGAACAATGGGAAAATAGCATTGATTCAGAATGTGTGGTATGTACCTGGCATCAGAAGCAATCTGATGAGTGTGGGACAATTAATTGAGAAAGGTTTCTCAGTTACCATGAAGGAAAATCTTCTGAAGCTGTATGACTGTAATCAGAAGTTGATTATGGAGTCAGAACAGGGAAGGAATAGAACATTCAAGGTGAATGTCAGAACTGCAGACTTAGAGTGTCTTAGTGCAACAAGTACTGAGAAGGAGAGTGAGCTGTGGCACAGAAGATTTGGTCATTTGAATTTCAGAAGCTTACAACATCTGAATTCAAAGAAATTGGTACATGGAATTCCTGCAATTAAGAAGCCTGAAAAGTCATGCAAAGTTTGCATGGAAGAAAAACAACCAAGATTGCCATTTGCATCAGAAGTTGCTCCAAGAGCAAAACATGCCTTGGGAGTTGTACACTCTGATGTGTGTGGTCCATTTCCAGTAGCATCAATTGGAGGGAATAAGTACTTTGTGTTGTTTGTTGATGAATTCACAAGAATGACATGGGTATCCCTTATTAAGTTCAAACACGAGGTGTTTGATGAATTCAAGAAGTTCATAATGAAGGCTGAGAATCAGAGTGGTCAGAAGTTGAAAATTCTTAGAACTGATGGTGGAGGTGAGTATAACTCCAAAGAGTTCCAAAAGTTCTGTGAGGAGAATGGAATTGAGCATGAGGTTACTGCTCCTTATACCCCTCAACACAATGGTCTTGCTGAAAGAAGAAACCGTACTTTGCTTGATATGGTGAGAAGCATGCTAAAGGAGAAGAAGCTTCCTCAGAAGCTGTTGCCACTGCAACGTATGTACTCAACAGATGTCCTACGAAGAAGTTGAAGGAAATAGTTCCTATGCAGAAGTGGACTGGAGATAAGCAAAGTGTTAGTCATCTAAAGGTGTTTGGTTCTGTTTGCTATAAACATGTTCCAGAAGCCAGAAGACAGAAGCTGGATGATAGAAGCAAAGTGATGATTCTGATAGGGTACCACAGTACAGGTGCATACAAGCTTTATTGTCCAAAAACCAATAAAATTGAATTCAGCAGAGATGTGATTGTGAAGGAATCAGAAGTTTGGAATTGGGATAAGTCTCAATCTGATTCTGATGTTAGAACTTCTGAAGAAAGGTCAGAGTTAAGAATTTCTGAAGTTGAAGTAAACTCTGACGTTGATTCTGACTCTTATAGTGATTCTGACTCTGGAGAAGACTCAGAAGATGAAGGTGACTCTGATGATCCAGACTCTGATGGTAATCCAGATTCTGGTGGAAATTCAGACTCTGAAGATGGCCAAGGCTCTGGAGGAAGTCAAGCCTCTGAAGCTAGAAATTCTGAAGTTCAAGACTCTGGAAATATGCCAGATCCTGAAGTTGGTCAAAGCTCTGGAGAAAGTCAATCATCTGAAGCCCAAGACTCTGAACAAGTTCAGAGACCACAAAGAATCAGAAGCGTTCCCAGAAGATTTGCAGAATTTGACATGCTGCAAGACACTGAAGTAGACTTTGAAGGAGAAGTTATTCAGTGTGCCATGTTAGTAGACTCTGAACACATAAGTACAGAAGAGGCTCTTAAGCAGAAGCTCTAGCTGAAGGCCATGAAAGAAGAACTTGATGCTATAGAGAGAAACAAGACTTGGAAGCTGACAGAACTTCCAAAAGACAAGAAAGCCATCAGCGTCAGATGGGTTTTCAAGCAGAAGTTAAAGCCAGATGGCTCAATTGGAAAACATAAAGCAAGGTTGGTAGCCAGAGGATTTCTACAGAAACCTGGGCTGGATTATTCTGAAGTGTTTGCACCTGTAGCAAGACATGAAACAATCAGAATGGTGATTGCAATAGCTGCTAACAGGAATTGGCCTCTGATGCATTTAGATGTAAAATCTGCATTTCTGAATGGCCCATTAGAAGAAGAAGTTTACGTGTCACAACCTCCTGGATTTGAGAAAAAGAATCAGGAAGGGATGGTGTACAGATTATACAAAGCTCTATATGGATTGAAACAAGCGCCCAGAGCTTGGAATCAGAAGATTGATTCATTTTTCAAGAAGCAAGGCTTTCAGAAATGTGAGATGGAGTACGGTGTCTATGTTCAGCATACTTCTGAAGGCAATATGACTCTGGTATGTTTATATGTTGATGATATACTATTGACTGGAAGTTCTGAACAGGAGATAGCCAAGTTCAAGAAAGTTCTGATGAATGAATTTGAAATGACTGATCTAGGCAAAATGACATACTTTCTAGGGATGGAGTTCAGATATTCTGAGAAAGGTATCATTTTGCATCAACTCAAGTATGAATTAGAACTTCTGAAGAGGTTTGAACTGAAGAATTGTAAGACTGCTGTCACACCTTCAGATACAAATCAGAAACTGGATTCTGACTCTGATGGAGAAGATGTGGATGCTACAACCTTCAAACAGTTGGTTGGTTCTCTGAGGTATCTGTGCAATACCAGACCTGATATTTGCTATTCTGTTGGGATGGTTAGTAGGTTCATGAGTAAACCTAAATGGTCCCATTATCAAGCTGCTGTCAGGATTCTGAGGTATATCAAGGGAACTCTGAAGTATGGAGTGTCATTTCCTTCTGGAAGAAAGGATGAATTAGAACTTCTGAGTTATTCAGACTCTGATTGGTGTGGAGACAGAGTTGACAGAAAAAGTACCTCTGGGTACTTGTTCAAATTTCTGGGAGGTCTTATTTCTTGGTGTTCCAAGAAGCAACCTGTTGTGGCGTTATCAACCTGTGAAGCTGAATACATTGCAGGTGCTGTTATTGCATGCCAAGCTGTGTG